ATACAAATATACACTTTGACATAAAGATGGCATAATAAGGTGTAATAATAGAGCAAAAATAAAATTTTTATTTTATTTTGACGTAATAACCATGTATACGAGTATGTACTCGTATATAACAAAGAGTATCAAATGTGTATTTCATCAAAACCTAAGTGCTTACGTTATGTATACAATTATACCTTGCCTTATTAATTTTCAACGAATAATTTATTTGAGTGTATATATATTGAAATTAATCAGATGTTTGTCAGAATTTTAATGAAATTTGTACACAATTGTCGAAATACTTAATTCGAATTAGACAATGTATGCTCCTATTTTGTTTGGAATAAATAGTTTTATTTAAATATAAAATGCTCAAAAATGATGAATGAAGATAATTTTGTTCTTAATTCGAAGAATAGGAAGGATTGTGTCCATATTAATTTTGCATTTCTAGTATAATAACAAGAATAATATTTTATCATATTGCGTATTTATAATAATTAATATATTTATACTTAAAATTTAGAAATATCAGCAATTGACTTTGTTTATTCAGTACAATGAACACTTAGTAGTCAGGCTCGGTTCTGATTTGTTTGGTGCCTTATGTGATTTTCAAAAAGTGTGCTGCTTCCGATTTCAAGGCAATGAACAGTACTTTTAAAATTTTCCCTGTTTTCCTGCTCTGATTACATAATATGCTTACTTTGCATATATAGTAGATTCGGGGCTGCTATTAGTACATTAGATTGAATTTATAATGGTGTAAGCATTTAAACGTTTCTTCACTTAATTAATTTAACAGTTAATTTATTGTTTAGTCAGTCAAACTTTTAAAAAACTTTAAATAATTTTTTTATTTTTCTTTGTATGCATTTATTTCTTATTCAACAACAAAAAATTACAATAATATTATTTAACATTTTTTTTTTTCTTTTATAAAATTTTGTATTATTTATTTTAAGTAATGTAGATTTTTATTAAACAAAAAAGAAAAAAACGTGATCTAATTAATGTGAGGAGTTAAATAAGAATGTAAAATGTTATTGTTGTTAAATGTAAAATAAATTTAGTACATTTGTACAACATAATATGTACGACTACAAAATATAGGTATACAAGTACGTAACAAATTACAGAAAATGTTTATAGGAGTATAGAGTAGTAAACTACAAGCACCTACACATTAAAAGTAAAGAAAGAGAAAACAAAAATAAAAAGGTTAGCAATATAGTTAGTGATTACTAAACAATAAAACTAAATGTATTTTTAGTTATTTTGTAAAATTTCTTATTTTTTCTATAGTTTTTGTTTTTTTTTTTTTTACATTTGGTATTATAGGAATGTATAACACATATTTGAATAATATTGTATAAGAATAACGTCAATTTAATTTTAAATTCAGATTCAATTTAAATATTTACAATATTACTTGACTATATGTGGGTATGTTTGTATGTATATATGCATCAAATTTCAAGTATATTTATGAGATTACAACATAATGTTCATATGTAATTGAAATTTTAATTTAGTAATTCTTAAAATTTTCAATATATATATTTTTTTTCGAGTTAATTCAATTACAATTGTGTTACGTGCAGCAATACAACTTAGATCAAATTGATAATAAATTTTCGGAATTGTTATAACAGTTATAAAATAATTTTATATTTAATAATATCGAAAAACTGTACAATATACAAAAGTTAAGCTAAAATTTTGTATGGCCGTCTCTCACTAAGGGTTTAGATATACATACAATTTTCAGTATTGTAATTACTGCTTGATTATAAATTCGTTGCGGGCACATCTAATCAACTGAACAATTGCGTCAATTCAAATCGAATGCTTTAAAATATATAAAGAATTAGAAATTGTTTGATTGCTTGATTGTATGCGATCATACTGTTTCATGTGTGCACGCTTAAATATAATCCTATGAAAGCAATCAAACAGTTGTTGGAAAACTAAAAATTGCATGACTATCTGAGCCCTAATAAAACGCTCATTCAGTCTCAATGAAATTTTCTAGAAAAAACAAATGTTATAAAAATGTAAAACTTATCGTTTTAAGAGCTTATGTACACCTATAATTATAACATATTGCAGCAACTCATTCACTCCTTTCGAATTCATGTTTGATATAATTTCTTTTTTCTATAATAATTGTTTTAATTGTTTTGCTAACTGCAATATGATTGATCAGTTAATATGCCTGTTTTATATTATTCATATTATATTTAAATAATTTTGACATATAAGTGCTTCTGAATACATAAACCTATTACGGTCATATAAAATAATAACAAATTGCTTGCTATTCGAATAATTTTAAAATTTAGAAGCACATATTTTAAAAATGCATTTTATTTTGATATCATCAGAAAATACGAATGTTCTATACAAGTGCCATATGAGTCAGTTATTTGATTGATTTATTCATTTATTCGGAATTCCAAATATACATACATATATGTATGCCTCATGCTTAAAAATTATTGACATAATGGAATTGTATATATTGCAAAGAAATTTTATAAACGCTATTAAATTAAATACATGCGCTTCAGAAAAGGCATTCTAGAAAATATTGTAGATTATCTAAGACTGTATATAAAATATCCAAACAACAAGAACTTGACGTAACGAGTTCAACGAATAATATTAAATTAAATATAATAATTAATTAATTTAAAAATAAAAAAAAAATCTGTATCTAGTACGATTAAAATTTAATTAATCGTTCATTCACTTTAAAAGTACTTAAATAATTATAATTTAAAGTACCTACCACTTATATTTGAAATTTTATTATTTACAAAAATGAAATTTATTATAAAAATATGAGCTTTATTACATAAAAGAATTTCACATACATACATATATAAAAATTGTTTTGTTATCTTCAAAAATAATAATATGATATTCTTATGTACTCAAATTACTTATTTAATAAATTATATACTAACTTAGATATTATATTTTATTATTTGAATATGACATAATATTTACGTATACATTTATGTATGTGAGTATAAGTGATATAAGGTAACTGATTGACAACTTTTCATATAGTATTACAACAGTAAAATTGAATATGATGACACTCTGAAAATAAGAGAAAATGACTTAAGTTGAAATTAAGTTATTTTGAGTAAATTAATATACGTACGTTTGATATTATGTCAAATTATGACGATCGAATCGGTAGAATTTAAGTCTATAATTTCTATTTACTTATGACTAGAGTAATTTTTAAAGTATTTTTCAATTAACCTATATTTTATTATAAATACTCTTAATGAATCAATAAATTCCCTATGGTATTTTTCTCAATTCCGATTTGAGCAATTTGGATTGTTCCAAATTAAATGAAATTTTGTTGGATTATAAATTTAAATATGAAGAATTCAAATAAGGTAATATCTCGATTTTGTGTTAAATTGAATTATACACGGGTTTTCCTTGTTGCCACAGAACATTTAGAAGACCGATAAAAATTCATTTTTGTATATAAGTTATAATAGAATAAAAAATTTTAATATACTTAAATAATATTATCTAATATTATGTAATGTGTATTTCATTAAGTGTAATATTTCATAATAAAAAATTGAATTAAATTAAATTATTAAATGCAATTATTTATTTTATAAGTATATACAATAGAGATAATTGTAAAATGTTAATGTAAAATGTTAATATTAAATATAATAGTTTGATGTAATACTGTAAAATATTTAATTATTTAATTTTAAAAATTAAATTCTTGTAAATTTTAATGATTGTTATATATTTTTAGTTTATTATACTTAATAAAAAATTATTATATTGTAAAATGTAGAAAGTATTATGAAAAAAATTTAATTTGTCAAATTTATAGTTCTAAATGTATAACACATATAAGTACTTAATTTCTTATTTTATATTTTTTCATTTTAATATTTTTATAATTTCAAATTTTCCATGAAATTACCTAAAGACGTCATAATGTCTGGTGATGTATTCAGTGATCTTTTTTTTCATATAATCAAATAAATAAAATTTTTTTTTTTTATTAAAATAAATTTCTAAATGAGTTTTATTTATTAATATTTATTATTTTTTATATTATTTACTCAATTTCTTTTATCAGAAGATTTTTATTTTTTTTTTGTGCTATCCCTCTGTGAATTTTGAAATTTTTATTGCAGATTATCGATATCTTTATTATATTGAGTTTAGTTTATTATTAAAATTACTATTTAGGTATAATATTGTTATCATAAGAGAGAGGTAAAGTTAAATGACATTATGTCATTGAAAGAACAATAATATTGATTTAATGTGTAAACAATATATTATAAGTATATTTTTTTTTATTGATAAATCTATTTAGGTATTTTTTTTTTAATAATATTTATTTGTTATTAAAGTGAAAGTAATTTCGCATTATCGTATGAATAACAAGTATTTTGTTTGTTATTTCTTTCGTTTATATACATTTTCGGAATTGTTGTATTACATTTCGGAGTAATTAAATTATAAATTTTAACTTATATTTTATTAAATGGAACAATATTGAAAATTTTGAACACAATTTTAAATATTTTAATTAATTCCGAAAATTTTCGGAAACTTTCGGAAACGATTTTTTTCGAATTTTGAATAAATTTTTATTGGATTATTTATGAAATTGTTTTTAATTTTTTTCTTTTTTTTTCAAATTTAAATGAAATTATAAAATTTTCTATATAACTCCGAATTTGTAAATTTTTTTTCCGATTTTTTTTTTTATTTTGAGACATATGTATTTGTAAATGTTCACAAATCTTTCTTAGATTTCCTTTTTGCTGTCCTCATTTTTTTAAAAGCTGTTTGAAACTTTAAATTTAGAAAATTTTGAATTAAAAAACTTTTCGAATTTTTTTTTAATTAAATCTTTTTTTTTTCAACAAAAGTAAAAATAAATTTAAAAATACAATTAAATGAAAACAATGGCAAATAGATAAGAATTACTTTAGTTTTTTTTTTTGCTTTTTTTGTTATTTTACAATGGCAGTCACTTAAATTATTACACTATTGTGTTATCCTTATGGAAGACCAAAATTATGAACTAAAAATTCACCTAGTGTCCCACCTTTTGCAAATATACATATTATACATATCAAAAAATATCATCCATAAAATAAAAGTCAGTCCAAAAATTTCTATATACAAGGAAGAAGCTATTATATATGAAGTGATTTTGTAAATCACCCATATATATATGTAGATGTGTGCTGATTAATAACAGTGTTGTTTCTTAATTGTTTTTTCTAAAAAAAAAAATATTTAAACGGCAACAATTGGGGCTGGTGCAGCAACAACTTTTGATGGTACAGGAAGAGCTCTTGCAGCAACAACTGGAGCAGCAACTGGTACATCTTTTTGTACAACAGCATTGAAACCGTTTATTGGATCAGCATAATAATTTACAACACGTCTTGAACCATCAGCTTCAATTAATGAATATGATCCTCTAACAATATCACCATCACGAGTTTCTTCTTGTGTTTTTGAATCACCAGTTAAAGCATCTTGAACATCATAAGCAAATTGATATTGTGGATGAGCATCAATTATTTCAGTACGAGCTAGAATTGGTGCTGGTGCTGCAACAACTGGAGCAGCTCTAACAATTGGTGCTGGGGCTGCAGCAACAACAGGTGCAGCTCTTAAAATTGGTGCTGGTGCGGCAGCATGAACTAATGGTGCGGCAGCATGATGAACAATTGGTGCAGGTCCGGCAGCTAAAACTGAAGCTGGTCCAGCTAAAAGTGGTTGAGCAGTATATCTTGCAAGTAATGGAGCTGGTGCTGCTGCAAATGGAGCAGCATGTAATACAGCACCATTTGAGGTGTAAGCCAATGTTGAGATAACAGCAATCTGAAATTTAATTTAAAATTTATGATGAAAACACACCATTTTCTTCGAATATATTGTGAAAGTATTTTAGGCACAAAATTTTTTTGACAATTTTTAAGTAATCCAATTTTAGTATTCGCTTTGTTTTCGTTTAAGTGAAATTATTTCCAAAAATTGTTATTTACTTACAATAAGTGAATACATTGTTTGCTTAAAGGATTTGTTTTTGAACAAAAAAAGTTAGTAACTTCTTACTATTTGTTGTGTTAACACAAAACTGATATAACAATTCAAATTTTGATTCGTTTTTATACCATGGAGAAATTTCAATTTTTCTTTTTTTTTTTTTTGCTTTTGGATTCATAGACAGGGTTTGGAAATGTCGTAAGTTTTCAACTAAAATTTAAGTATGGAATGAAGTTAAAATTCAAATTTAAAAATTCCTGAAATTGAATTCAAATCACGAAAATCGGGTAAGGCTATATGTGCAAGGCAAGACAAATAAGCACAATATACATACATACATATATAGAAAAAAAAAATTAACTATTCCAAAATCATAAGTTTTTACTTAAAGAAATCATAATAATAGCAAAGACTATAAAAGAAAAAAAAAAAAAAAAAGAGTACGCGCGAGCTTTGAATGCATTTTAAAAGCAATGAAAGAAAACACACGAAAAAATATGCGAATAAGTGGTGAACAAAATTAGGTTTTAATTTGGCCACTTTAAAATATTTATTTAAACATGATGGTTTTTTATAATTTGGCATTTAATTGCGAAGAATTATAATCAATAAATGTACATACGTGTGTATGTAAGTAATGTGAAATGACAAATTCAGAATATAATTTTAATTTTTTGTAATAAATTTTTTTTTATTTTTACTTGGAATTGGATGATGGTGACGTGTTGACAGGTTTTCAAGGCGTTTTAAATATATTATTCGTTTTATTATAAATACTTTACATTTAGTTCAGAATTTATTGAATTTTTAAAAATAAATTTTGTAATATTTTGTGTCCAAAATTATAAAATTGCATTAAAAAAATTTTTCTTTAATATGTGAAATACATTTTTTATGTTGGAAATTATAAATTAAGTGATTAAAATGCAATTGTTTGACCTCGAATATTGATTGATTTTGAAGGAATTATAAATAAAACACAAATTGCATATTAGGTACCAAATTAGTGTTTATAAATGTATGTATGTATAAAGTGAAGGGATTAATTAATTAATTACAAGACGTTACACGATTTGATCTTTTCAAAGGTTTTCAAGGTTTTACGTGTAGGTTTTCAGATTTATGTGATTGAAATTCGCTGACTGCATAAATTGAAAGAATTAATCTATTTTAAGCCAAAATATTATTATTGGTGTAGATTTTAAGGTAGTATCGAACCACCAAAATGCAATTGTTGGATGCCGTTTGGTATTCTGTGGCAAATTACCCTTGAGAATAATAAGTGTATAAACAAAAGCCGAACTTTATTTTGAAAGCAACTACAATATTGAAAAGCCATGATAAATAGAAAGAAACCTCATGTGATTGGTTATAGTTCTTAAATGAACAAGAAAATATTTCGATACCGGGAAGAAAAGGGTACTTTATACAAGCTTCTTTTTACTTCTCAATAGAAAGAATTATCAACAGGATTTCAGAAACTATCTCATGATAAGACTAGATTGAGTAAGGTCTGCGTGTGTCGAATCTTTTTGGAAGTTGTTGATTTGTTATATTCCCATTTTTATTATGGGATAAGTGTCCTACCTAGATCAAAAACAAGTTCAATTTTTTTTACTTTTGTTCATATATGTATAAGGACAATGAATATGTAAATATAAACATCTTGTTACATTTCGAATTTTAATGTTGCCGAGGTATCTGCTTTTTAAAATGTAGGCGAGTAATGTACAAGTGAAAATAGTTTAGTGATGTATTCGAATATTTTATGGAATACCTATGCGCAATATCACAATACTAATTAATTTAGCTTAACATTTATTTTACCGTTTTACAATAGATGAACTTTTGAATTACTAGATTAATTTTAGTGCAGTTGTTGTTACATCCTTATGAAGATATCGAGAATTACGCTAAAAATTTCATATTAATGTTGGTAAATTTAGAAACTTTTATGGTTTTCAATGAACAAATTTATCTGAAGGACCTTGTTAATAACATTTTAAGTTTGGCATAAATAAAATTATCCTAAACTATGGTCAGCTCTCGAGCCATCATAAAAGTCGTAAAACTTAAAATTTCTGTACTTTCACCCACAAGCAAAATTTTAAATTATTTTTTTTTTTTTGTTAATAAAATAAAAAAAAAAAATTAAAACTCTCGAACCTGAAAGAAAAATGCCAAAATATTCCACACTTGTGAAACAAAAATTTTTTATCGTTATTTTTTATTTCTTGTTTCCGCAAACGTCAACATCATACAAATGAGAAAACGGTAGTAAGTAAAATGAATAAACTGTTACAGGTAGAAAATTAATTAGTTATATAGGACGGAAACTACATACTTATAATTTGAAAATCTACATATAAAAAAAATGCAGATTTCCCCGTAAAAAACCTAATAATTTGCTGTGGCACTTTAAAGTCTTACTAAAATTTTCATTAATAAAATTTTCAACTTTAATTTCAAATTAAATTATTGCGAGAATGGTGTTTCTATGTACGTAACACAGACGTATCACACTGCATTACTTCTCAATTCAGCAATTAGAATCTATGTGTAAGCTGAATTGTGTATTAAAAGCGTATCACAATATTTACGGCAAATTTTGAATTCAAAGTGTTGTGTGTAATGCTACGTCATTTGGATGTCTCAAATTTCTATAATTTATTTTACCTACATACATACATACATACATACACCAAATTCTTTTAGTTCTAGTCTAATAAAAGCAAAAAAAAATTTTGTTAACTTATTTTAATTGTCCATCAAAATGAACGGAACGGAGTGAAAACTTAAATCAATGTGAAGCGGCTTCTTTGATTTTTTTAAGGTCGTGTTCATTTGAAATAGAAATTGAACAGTCAACTGTTTGAATTTTTTCTTTATAGTTTTTAGTATGTATGTACACATATCTACATACATACATATTATGCATTCATATCCAATATCTATTTTTATATATGGCTGGTTGGTATTTCGTGGGAACTGGACTTCCTAAAAATATTAAACAATTTCATTGTATAGTTGCAAAAAATTTTCAGATATAAACCATGCTATCAACATTTAACACAAATATTTGAAAATAAATTTAGAATGCATACGAGTACAGTGAAACTTCATTTTAATATAACAAATATACATACATATGTACTTTAATTTCTGAATATGTTTGTATATTTGTAATCTCCTTCAAATTAAAAACTTAACATAAATTCTAAAACTCTTTAAAGCATTCATCATTTTATAAATTTTTATTATGCAAATGCAATACAGCATATGCAAATAATTCATTATTTTTATCGCATAAAATGTCAAATTTATTTCAAATGTATAATTATTGAAAATTTTTATAATTATTATTAAAAATTAATTGAAAATTCTAAATTTTGTTAATAACATTTATGAAATTAAAAATAGATTTCCATAAATAAATGACAGTAGAATGAAATATATTAATCTGTCAAAATTGAAATTTACCTATGCCAAAGAATTTATTACAAATACTACAATTCCATAATGCAGTACTTACATACAATACATATTTTGTAATTATTTCTAAATAGAATTTAATTTTTATAATATTTTAATTGGTAAAATTGATAATTGAATAAATCCCTATTTGAGTTGGTAAATTGACTACATTCGTTAATGATTTAACCTATATTCAGATTAGACGGAAATTTCTGCAGTCACTTATGTCATAATTTTGTAATCACATGACGTGTCATAATTGAATTTTAAATTTTAAATTTAATTTCGAAATTTTGAAAAATTATAACGCATTTTCTCTTCTCACTCATCTTCTTTCTCTTCAACTCTTCGAAATCAAATCAAAAAAGGTTCAACTGTATATGAAATAAGAAAAAAAAATTTAAATAAGTAGTGAAATTCTTTTTTTTTTTTTTATCACAGTTAAGTGCTATTTTTGTTATATCAAACATGCTCACCTACATATTATGTACTTACATATGTACAATAAATAAACTATATATATACATATAATGCACATAATAACATACGATATTCGTTAATATTTATATATGTACATACATCTTTACATATGCTCAGAATTTATTTGGGAATTTTATTTTTTTATCGGTGCTTTTTTTTTTCGTTGTGGTATTCGTTTTTGTTGTTGTTTTCTTGGGTTAAAATCAACTGACAAGCAGTAAAGAACATAACAACAATAAAAGAGTCAAGGTCGTTTGCAGATTACCAGTGCTTTTTGGTATTTTTTTGTTTCTTATTTTTAATATTCTTTTTTTTTCTTTCTTCACTTTGTATGTGTTTTATTGACGAGCCCAAAACCAAATCGTTGAAATTTTCGATGATGGTTTTTTCTTTTTTTTTTGCTTGTTTTGTTTGTCATTATTTTACTTTCGCGATTTTACCCCGGTCAATAACTTGTGGTGTTCATTTATTTCTGTTTTTTATTTTTCTCTCTTTGTTCTGTTTGTTTTTATTTAGAACTTTTTAATATCGCTTATAATTTTTATTTTTCTTATATAAAGCGATAAAAAAGGAAAAAAAAAAATATTTTTGTTGTTATTTGGTGTTTTTTTTTTCTTTTCTATTTGATATTCCGAAAATATTTATTCCTTAGTCTGTATAGCAGTCAATGAGCCTTTAAATATGGAAAATAATACAAAAAAAATTATTAAGAATAAAATTGAATAAAAAAATAAAATTAGTATAGAAATTTTATTTTATTTTTTTATAATATTTTGATGACTTTTAATCAAGGTTAAATGAGGACATGAATTTGGTTTTTTTTTTTTTGTCGAATTTTAGCGAATTCAATTCAATTTTTGATTGTTTTGTTTAAGTTGCTGCTGATTAAGTTTTATTTTAATTTTAATATGCAAAGTAAATTGGGAGCAGACACAAATACTGGACGTTCTTAATTTCTATATTATTTTAGGTGTCTGTGTGTGTATGTGAATATTTATTGTTAGTTGATAAGTTTTTAAAAATTTCACAAAAAATAAAAAAAACCTTTGGACTTTTCTTTAAAATTAAAGCTTTATAGAGATTACATAATAGTTTAAAG